CGCTTCTCTCCGCGGGCCCGGCCCGCTGAGAACCGGGGAGCGGGGGCTATTTACACGAGGTGCCGATTAGTCTCGGAGGCGTCGTTTACCCACGTGCCAGTGTGATCGCGCGTTCCGGGGAGGAGGCGCGCGGGACCGCGGACCTGCGAAGAGAGCTCCCGGGTCTGCGCCCCGGACCGCCGCGCCCTCCAGACTGTCCCTCGGGCCGGGCCGGACCGTCACCGCCGACAGCGCCCGCGGCTCTGCTGCGGAGCAGCTCCCCGGCTCCCCAGGGTCGCGGGCACCCGGGCAGCTGCTCCGTGCGCCAGGAGCTTTCGGGTTCTCGCCACCTCACCCCTCTTTCAGAAAATCGGACTGCTTGCAACTGCCCCGTGGCTTTTTTTTCTTGCAAAAGGCCAGTGTCTTATCTCTCAAGTTCAAGTTCCAAGGACTTGCCCGGTCTCCTCCCTGTGAAGGCATTTTTACCGCCCTTCCACAGCCTCGGGAGGCGGGGAGCCTTGGACCGCGCGTCCCAGCGCGGGCGCGGGCAGCCCCAGTCCGTCCGGCGAAGCATCCCGGGGCTTTCGCCTCTCTCCCTTCCTCTTCTCCCTCCTCCCTCCCTCCCCCGCTTTCCTCCTTTCCTTCACCCTTCCTGTCCTGCCTCTTAAGTGTCCTGCACCGTAAATCCAACTGTGCCAAGCCGAGGCTCCCGTGGAACGCATCCGGAGCGCGCCCCGGGCGCTGGGACGCCATCTCCGCCGAGGCTGGACGCGGCAGCGGGACCGGTCGGCGCCCGAGCATGGAGGCGAAGCGCCAGCGAGGGCACGTCCGGGGCGCCGGAGACGCCAGGCCCGAGTAGCTCCTCCATGGAGCCTGCCCAGAGCCGTCCCTGCTCACCGGATTCGCCCCCAGTCCTGTGCGNTGCCCCTTGGCCCGAATGAAAGTAGTGCCAGCGCTCTGTGTGTGTGTGTGCGCGCGCGTGTGCGCAGAGCCCACGAATGGGTAAACTGAGCCTGGCTTTTCTGTTTGCAAATTTCACACCCCCTTTCCCCACCCCCACCCCACCGACGGTGTGGAGATGCCCAGCACCTAATCTCGGTCAGCGCTACCTACCCCTTCCTCTCCCCGCGCCCCCTCGGCCAGCCTCGCTCGCTCGCCCTCGCTCTCTTTCTCTCTCCATCCCTCTCCTGGTGCGTACGTGTGAGAGCTCTGCCAGGGCTGGCAGAGAACCAGCCGCCGCGTTTAGTCCCAGCCGCCCCGCCATCAAACACTAGG